AACAAAAAAGCATTACAATTAGTATCAACAGGTCAAATAAACAAGAAAGTACGATTTGAGAGTACTCGCAGTTACTGACAGCTAGTTAAAAGCCAAAAACAATTAATAATAAAAAATCATGCATCAGAGACTAAAATCAACTAAAACACATCCCAGGGATTTAGTATTTTAACGCCATGGACAGTCAAAGAAGGCATGACTTGTGCAATGCCAAAAATAAATGTATCGACAGGCAGTAGGATAGTTAGGAGTTAACCTCTTTATAGATCAAAATGAAGGTTGATGTGTCTTTATACATCCCGTTTGAAAAGAATACAAATTTAGTTATGTTTTAATTTGCTGATGACAAAATCGATATTAGTGCCAATGTAAACTATATACAAAGATCTAATTACAACATTGGTAAGATAACCTTTACTAATAAGTTTGTTAAAAGGTTAGATGAGTTTACACGGATCACATAGTGATATCCGTGCTTTAAGTACAATATTACCGTAAAATTTAGGATGTGTAATACCGTTTTTAATCAGTTTTCTACAGGTTCAGCCAAATTTACTAATCAAATCTTTGTATCTATGAAAGAATTTAGTAAAAGTTTTACGTAATTTAAGATAACGAAATCCCTGACTTAATAATTTACCAATGATGCATTAATTACGTTCGTTAAAATCTATGACATCACTACACACGGGCATAACGAACGAGTTGGGATATATAAACACCGTATGATGGAGCCAAAGGAACATCGCCGTCTAAAAAAGGAAAATTAACAATAGGGAATGAAAAGTCGTCTCTTTTGTCGTAAATTTTAGTATGGAGTTTTCCTTTAGAGATTGAAATGTCCAAATCCAGAAAAGGACAACTACTGCTGTTTATGTTAGATTTAGTTAAAGTAAGTTCTATTGGGTAAAATTCGGTAGTATATTTAGAGAACTCTGGATTATTTAACGAAAAAATATCATCTAGATAACGGAAGGTATTGTTGAATGTATCAACCAAATGTAACAATGACGTGTCTTTACTGAGTTTGGTCATAAACTGAGATTCATAGCAATACAGGAATAAATCTGCTATTAAAGGGGTGCAGTTAGTGACCATAGGAATACCTACTACTTGTCGATACACTTTATCGCCGAAACGTACAAATATGTTGTCCAGGAGAAAATGTAAAGCTTCAATCATATCTTCACGTTTCCAGTAAGTGTATCTAGCATACTTTCCTTTTTCGTTACCGAAAAAGGCTTTAAACGAGTTACAGCAAATAAATTTGTAAGGAGATTTTTCAAAAGACCATTTAATTAAATATGAAATCTTTTTCTTGATAAGATTGTGTGGAAGTGTAGTATAGAGAGTAGAACTGTCATCATAACTGTCAACAGAATTAAAAGGACCATCAAAAGCATGTATTTTATCTAAAACCTCTAAAGAATTTTTAACACCCCAAAAATAATTAATACCATTATTTTCATAAGCTTTATTACAAAAGTTAATAACAAGTTCTTTGATAGTAGTAAGGGAGGTAGTTAGAAGCACTGATAGATTGGTAGTAGAACACTTACTAGATGCGGAGATGAAACGAAATTTAAATGTTTTTTTGTGCAATCTAGGTAACCAGGTAGGGACTTTCAAATGTTCGGAAGAGGCTTTAAGCTGGGTAGTGGCAGTGATATGCTTGTTTACAATTTGACTCTCTGTGGAGCGTACGGGCCTGAATGTAGAAGAATTTGTAATTTCGTTTTGGATAACTTCCGTGTAGTATATGCGTCACACCACCACTACATTATTTGGTGCTTTGTCTGCCGGTACGAACATAAACCGCTTTGCGAGTACTTGGAGCTCATTTTTTTATTCTAGAAATGGGAATATCATGGACCCTATTACTAATTTCAGTTTTGTTTTCAAAATGAGATATACGAATATTAACAGTATTCATAATTTTATTCAAATAACTGTCTAGAGATTTGTTATCAGATTTTTCACATTTACACCAATTTTTACAGTAGACAGACAGAGCGTCTTTAATGACCTGACGACACTGTTTCCAATCTATTATAAATGAAAGACGATATTTCGGTCCTTTCTTAAAAAAAATTATGACCTCACGGTCTTCGACGATGTTGAGGTCACCTGTAAGGACATGACCATAGGGAACATATCTAAAACTAGATTATTCACAGTCTCAAGTGGAGGAAACATTATTTTCTATATTGACGTCTGATGTAACTGACGTTTCATTAAAAATCAAACTTCTGCCAGGTTTTTTTTATAAGAATACGAAATAATAGGTGGTTCTATATTATCAAAATATGGAGGTATTTGGCTTTGGATGGAAGAGTCATTGAATATACTAGATAAGTTAATAAAATCAATACCTCTATTTATGAGGGGCCTGATGGGGGGGGGTCTCATCACGATTCACGAGTTGATTTTTTTGTCAATCAAGATTCACAGAAAATAAATTTCCATGATCACGGATCACGAAAATATAAAAAAAAAAAATCTGTAGAAAAACGGATCACGATAGCGAAAATGCGCCGATCACGAAGAACGAAAATAACCCATCAGGCCCCTCATTTATATATTTTAATTTAAGAAAATGCCGTGTATGATTTTCAGGTTAATCAATACTAGGCCAAGGCTCCGTGTTGAAGACCGTACTGTGACCTATAATGGTTTACTTTTATAAATTTTGACTTGGATGGAGAGTTGTCTCATTGGCACTCATACCACATCTTCTTATATCTATATATGATGACAAAAGGCTTTACAAAAATGGGTGTATTTATACATTGGGCTAAGAATAGAAATTTTATCACACTCCAGAAAAATAGCATATAATTTACTTATTGGTATCTGACCCAGTTTGCATAATACTTGATGTCTGCCATTATTTTTTATTATAGATAACAGATCAGCAAGTGTATAATTTATACGATGTTTAATACGTTGATTACGGTTTTTTCGTTTGCCATGAGACCTTTTATTTCTAAGTCGTTTATCGACAATATTAATGATATCGATTGAAGTTTTAGTTATGTTCCCCTGTCCTAATATTTTGTCATCAAGACCGAGAGGATAAGCCACCTTAGATTAGGTTCAAATTACCACATATATAAGGTTTTGAGTTTTTCAGGTAATGTCACAGGAAAAGGAGAGCGAAAAAGCTCTCCCGTTCACTGTTGACCTTACAGTATTTTGTGAAGTTAATCTAAAACAGGTTAGTCACTTTTTGGCATTGCACGGGAAAATTTGTTGATATCCACGTGCATTTGTCTATATATATGGCGATGTAAACAATCATTGAATCTTTAAAAGTTAAAAAAAAATAAACTTAATTTTGATCAATGAACCATAAAAATAAGGTCAATGTCATATTATTTCTACCTTATAGCATGATTCAATACATCAATTATATTTGACATACGGATTTACAATCTGATCAACAGATTTAATCGCAAAGACTAAAAGTTGAACTATGAACCATGATAATGAGGTCAACGTCAAAGGAATACGTCAACCTTAAAATTATTCCATATACAAAAATAGTTGAGCTATTGCTTCACGTATCTTAATCTTAACTTAATCACTAAGACACAGACCAAACCAAAAAACTAACTTAACATTTACTAATGAACCATGAAAATGAGGTAAAAATCAAATGAAACCTGCCAGTCAGATATATTCACCGTACAATCCTTCAATACACCAAATATAGTTGACCTATTGTTTATAGTATCTAAGATACGGACTTGACCCCAAAACTTTACTTTGATCACCGATCTATCAAATAAGGTCGAGGTCAGATGAATCCTATTTGACGGACATGTAGACCATGCAAAGATGCCATATACCTAATATATATTAACCTATTACTCATTATTATAAGTGTGTTTTTCACCTGACAAACATACTATACATTTGTGCAGGCAGTCGCTGAACCATGAAAATGAGGTCAAGGAGAATGGACCTATTTCAGACATAAACTTCGAAACATAAGTCATATGTATACAAGGTATGAGGCCTCTAGGTCCCTACGTTCTGAAAAATATAAAGCTTTATGCAAATAGTGTATTCCGGATAGTAATCCCTATGTCTCGCATACTGCGACTTTCGTTGCCAGCAAAACAAAAAACTACTAGTTATTGCAAATACACATTAGATAAATCTTTTCATTTGGAACAATTAACAAATTTATGATTTACGTTTACTACATTATTGGATGGTTCACAAAATCAACATAGAATTATGTTATCTTTTCCGCTTTGGGGTTTACTTATCATTAAATGTTAAACAGTTTTAATTCTACCACTTGTGGAATAATACATATATTTGAAAGTTATAACCAATAGATAAGGGCATACCTGAATGTTTTAATACGTAATAGCAGGTATAATTAATTAAAATTGTGGGTTATACCATATTTAAAAGATGAATACTTAAAAGAGAATTTAATATTTAAGCTACAAAATCTTGATAAAAGGTTATTTAATTGAATAAAAAAATTTACATCAATGTTACAAAAGAATGAATAAACATCACTTCATAACATCATCATTTAATCATGGATAATCAAACTTTAACATACCCTATCACCCCTCATAATAGTCCATTAATCTTCATATGTTATACCTTAGCTACAGTTGGGATGAATTTTATTTCTGAAATGATGACTGCCATATCAGAGACCATATCAAGGCAGTTAATATTCAAACATAACTTAAGAGATTGCCAGGATATGGTATAGGATAACTTTAATGTTGAAGATTTTACCGCTGTTTAATATGGCATATTCGCTGCGTCCACAATCAGTCAGAAGAGCTCAAAAACAGAAAAAATGTGAACTTTGTGAGACTGACACAAAAATTCAATACAGATGTGTACAGTGTCAAAAATACATGTGTGAGAAATGTAATAAAATCCATCTAAATGTGCGAACCTCTGACAAACACGAGATTATAAATTTACGGTCTTATCAGTATATTCAGGACACCCAAACTTTTATGGTAACACAAAACATTCCTTGTGACACACATGAAAAAAAGGTTTGTGTAAAGTGCTGCCTTGATTGTTTTGAACTTGTCTGTGAAGATTGTATTGTTGAGACTCACAGAGAGCATCAATTAGAGAAAATAAATGAAGGTTGTGATGATGTTATCATGATGACTCAAGCTAGACTTTCCAAGGATTTGTGGTTCTGTGACAGTGAATCAAAACAATTACAAACACTTAGTCAAATGTGTAGCTTATCCTATGACAACGCAAAAAAGAAAATAGAAGTAAGAGAAAAAGAGATAAAAGAAGTAATTAAAAAATATGTGAATCAATTACGTGCTCAGTTAGAAACTAATAAATGCAATGTCGAGAAAGAGAGAAAAACATCTGAAAAGAAAATCAGTGATATTAAAGAAATCTTAACAGACAAAGAATCACAATTGAAAAAATCAAAAGGGAGTAACAGAGCAGACAACATTATAAAAACCATAAGAGAAATTAATAATAATCTTCCTAGTTTAGACTTCCACCCATTTCCACATCAGGCTAGTGATTTCATTCCAGGGGACATAACTACGTCAGTTTTATTTGGATCACTTCAGTCCCAACCAATGAAAATGGAACAATCCAATATTGACTTGAAAGTCGTCAAGAGTTATAATACAGAATTTAAAAGCGTAGATAGACTGTTAACACTGGATCACAAAACAGCATGGATCTCTAATTTTCAAGAAAATACTCTAAGTAAGATAAACATTGATGACAACATAAAAACTGTGAAGAACATTTCAGCTCTGGCTTTTGACATTTCACTTATAGCAAGTGAAGATATTCTCCTGTCTTCTATAGACAGCACTAATGTCAATCTGTTAACAACAGATACAGGAGAAATCAAACCGTTCCTGTCTGTGTCACCACTGATACCAATTGGTATACATGTCACTAAATGTAATGAGATCATACTCAGTGTCAAGGAGGTTGGTGATAGTTTCAAGCTAACAGACAAAAGTTGTAGGAAACTTATAATCTTTGGGATAGATGGTAAACAAAAAAAATCATACGAGTATGATAAACATGATCAGAGACTATTTACGTTTCCTGAGAGAATTACATCTAATGTAAACAATGACATACTGGTTATAGATAGTAAATCTAGTCATGAAGGGAGAGTGGTGGTTCTGGACAAAATGGGACATATAAAGTGGATATATCAGGGAAATCTTCAAATTAATTCAGGAGAGAAACTATTCAATCCTTTGGATATAGTTTCAACGTCAGTAGGACATGTAATAGTGTGTGATGTTTTCATACATGCATTACATGTTCTGTCAGGACAGGGAGATGTACTGACATGTTCGTTTATGGAAGATCAGGGGATAATATACCCATGGTCACTGGATATTGATACTAGCGGACAATTATGGGTGGGGTGTGAATCTGGAGTTAGTAAAACATGTGATGCTAACCTTCACATTGTGAAGTTTTCGTCGTAATTTTTAATGTACATTATTTATAATATCATTTGGTGATTCTCTGTTTCTGATCTTCAATTTTGAAATAAAGTCCTTTTAATCACACGTGTAGAGCAATCAAATCTCTAACCATAAATAATGATGGATAATTATAAAGAAAATTAAACCATGCATATTTGTAAATGAAACAACCTGATTTTTAACCAAATTAAAGACTTAAAAAATCTGAATGTTTTGACTAATTAATGAATGTATTGTTGTGCGCTCATATTATCTTAATAAAAACTTGTTAAAAGCCAAACTATCAGTATCATTTTATCACGATTCACGAGTTGATTTTTTTGTCAATCAAGATTCACAGAAAATATATTTCCATGATCACGGATCACGAAAATATAAAAAAAAAAATCTGTAGAAAAATGGATCACGATAGCGAAAATGCGCCGATCACGAAGAACAAAAATAACCCATCAGGCCCCTCATTTATATATTTTAATTTAAGAAAATGCCGTGTATGATTTTCAGGTTAATCAATACTAGGCCAAGGCTCCGTGTTGAAGACCGTACTGTGACCTATAATGGTTTACTTTTATAAATTTTGACTTGGATGGAGAGTTGTCTCATTGGCACTCATACCACATCTTCTTATATCTATATATGATGACAAAAGGCTTTAAAAAATGGGTGTATTTATACATTGGGCTAAGAATAGAAATTTTATCACACTCCAGAAAAATAGCATATAATTTACTTATTGGTTTCTGACCCAGTTTGCATAATACTTGATGTCTGCCATTATTTTTTATTATAGATAACAGATCAGCAAGTGTATAATTTATACGATGTTTAATACGTTGATTACGGTTTTTTCGTTTGCCATGAGACCTTTTATTTCTAAGTCGTTTATCGACAATATTAATGATATCGATTGAAGTTTTAGTTATGTTCCCCTGTCCTAATATTTTGTCATCAAGACCGAGAGGATAAGCCACACTTAGATTGGGTTCAAATTACCACATATATAAGGTTTTGAGTTTTTCAGGTAATGTCACAGGAAAAGGAGAGCGAAAAAGCTCTCCCGTTCACTGTTGACCTTACAGTATTTTGTGAAGTTAATCTAAAACAGGTTAGTCACTTTTTGGCATTGCACGGGAAAATTTGTGGATATCCACGTGCATTTGTCTATATATATGACGATGTAAACAATCATTGAATCTTTAAAAGTTAAAAAAAAATAAACTTAATTTTGATCAATGAACCATAAAAATAAGGTCAATGTCATATTATTTCTACCTTATAGCATGATTCAATACATCAATTATATTTGACATACGGATTTACAATCTGATCAACAGATTTAATCGCAAAGACTAAAAGTTGAACTATGAACCATGATAATGAGGTCAACGTCAAAGGAATACGTCAACCTTAAAATTATTCCATATACAAAAATAGTTGAGCTATTGCTTCACGTATCTTAATCTTAACTTAATCACTAAGACACAGACCAAACCAAAAAACTAACTTAACATTTACTAATGAACCATGAAAATGAGGTAAAAATCAGATGAAACCTGCCAGTCAGATATATTCACCGTACAATCCTTCAATACACCAAATATAGTTGACCTATTGTTTATAGTATCTAAGATACGGACTTGACCCCAAAACTTTACCTTGATCACCGATCTATCAAATAAGGTCGAGGTCAGATGAATCCTATTTGACGGACATGTAGACCATGCAAAGATGCCATATACCTAATATATATTAACCTATTACTCATTATTATAAGTGTGTTTTTCACTTGACAAACATACTATACATTTGTGCAGGCAGTCGCTGAACCATGAAAATGAGGTCAAGGAGAATGGACCTATTTCAGACATAAACTTCGAAACATAAGTCATATGCATACAAGGTATGAGGCCTCTAGGTCCCTACGTTCTGAAAAATATAAAGCTTTATGCAAATAGTGTATTCCGCTGCTGCTGCCGGATAGTAATCCCTATGTCTCGCATACTGCGACTTTCGTTGCCAGCAAAACAAAAAACTACTAGTTATTGCAAATACACATTAGATAAATCTTTTCATTTGGAACAATTAACAAATTTATGATTTACGTTTACTACATTATTGGATGGTTCACAAAATCAACATAGAATTATGTTATCTTTTCCGCTTTGGGGTTTACTTATCATTAAATGTTAAACAGTTTCAATTCTACCACTTGTGGAATAATACATATATTTGAAAGTTATAACCAACAGATAAGGGCATACCTGAATGTTTTAATACGTAATAGCAGGTATAATTAATTAAAATTGTGGGTTATACCATATTTAAAAGATGAATACTTTAAAGAGAATTTAATATTCAAGCTACAAAATCTTGATAAAAAATTATTTATTTGAATAAAAATATTAACATCAATGTTACAAAGGAATGAATAAACATCACTTCATAACATCATCATTTAATCATGGATAATCAAACTTTAACATACGCTATCACCCCTCATAATAGTCCATTAATCTTGTTATACCTTAGCTACAGTTGGGATGAATTTTATTTCTGAAATGATGACTGCCATATCAGAGACCATATCAAGGCAGTTATTATTCAAACATAACTTAAGAGATTGCCCGGATATGGTATAGGATAACTTTAATGTTGAAGATTTGACCGCTGTTTAATATGGCATATTCGCTGCGTCCACAATCAGTCAGAAGAGCTCAAGAACAGAAAAAATGTGAACTTTGTGAGACTGACACAAAAATTCAATACAGATGTGTACAGTGTCAAAAATACATGTGTGAGAAATGTAATAAAATCCATCTAAATGTGCTAACCTCTGACAAACACGAGATTATAAATTTACGGTCTTATCAGTATATTCAGGACACCCAAACTTTTATGGTAACACAAAACATTCCTTGTGACACACATGAAAAAAAGGTTTGTTTAATGTGCTGCCTTGATTGTTTTGAACTTGTCTGTGAAGATTGTATTGTTGAGACTCACAGAGAGCATCAATTAGAGGAAATAAATAAAGGTTGTGATGATGTTATCATGATGACTCAAGCTAGACTTTCCAAGGATTTGTGGTTCTGTGACAGTGAGTCAAAACAATTACAAACACTTAGTCAAATGTGTAGCTTATCCTATGACAACGCAAAAAAGAAAATAGAAGTAAGAGAAAAAGAGATAAAAGAAGCAATTAAAAAATATGTGAATCAATTGCGTGCTCAGTTAGAAACTAATAAATGCAATGTAGAGAAAGAGAGAAAAACATCTGAAAAGAAAACCAGAGATATTAAAGAAATTTTAAAAGACAAAGAATCACAATTGAAAAAATTAAAGGAGTGTAACAGAGCAGACAAAATTATAACAACCATAAGAGAAATTAATAATAATCTTCCTAGTTTGGACTTCCACCCATTTCCACATCAGGCTAGTGATTTCATTCCAGGGGACATAACTACGTCAGTTTTATTTGGATCACTTCAGTCCCAACCAATGAAAATGGAACAATCCAATATTGACTTGAAAGTCGTCAAGAGTTATAATACAGAATTTAAAAGCGTAGATAGACTGTTAACACTGGATCACAAAACAGCATGGATCTCTAATTTTCAAGAAAATACTCTAAGTAAGATAAACATTGATGACAACATAAAAACTGTGAAGAACATTTCAGCTCTGGCTTTTGACATTTCACTTATAGCAAGTGAAGATATTCTCCTGTCTTCTATAGACAGCACTAATGTCAATCTGTTAACAACAGATACAGGAGAAATCAAACCGTTCCTGTCTGTGTCACCACTGATACCAATTGGTATACATGTAACTAAATGTAATGAGATCATACTCAGTGTCAAGGAGGTTGGTGATAGTTTCAAGCTAACAGACAAAAGTTGCAGGAAACTTTTAATCTTTGGGATGGATGGTAAACAAAAAAAATCATACGAGTATGATAAACATAAACAGAGACTATTTACGTTTCCTGAGAGAATTACATCTAATGTAAACAATGACATACTGGTTATAGATAGTAAATCTAGTCATGAAGGGAGAGTGGTGGTTCTGGACAAAATGGGACATATAAAGTGGATATATCAGGGAAATCTTCAAATTAATTCAGGAGAGAAACTATTCAATCCTTTGGATATAGTTTCAACGTCAGTAGGACATGTAATAGTGTGTGATGTTTTCATACATGCATTACATGTTCTGTCAGGACAGGGAGATGTACTGACATGTTCGTTTATGGAAGATCAGGGGATAATATACCCATGGTCACTGGATATTGATACTAGCGGACAATTATGGGTGGGGTGTGAATCTGGAGTTAGTAAAACATGTGATGCTAACCTTCACATTGTGAAGTTTTCGTCGTAATTTTTAATGTACATTATTTATAATATCATTTGGTGATTCTCTGTTTCTGATCTTCAATTTTGAAATAAAGTCCTTTTAATCACACGTGTAGAGCAATCAAATCTCTAACCATAAATAATGATGGATAATTATAAAGAAAATTAAACCATGCATATTTGTAAATGAAACAACCTGATTTTTAACCAAATTAAAGACTTAAAAAATCTGAATGTTTTGACTAATTAATGAATGTATTGTTGTGCGCTCATATTATCTTAATAAAAACTTGTTAAAAGCCAAACTATCAGTCTCTTTTTATTGATACCATGATTAAAATTTTGTAGGCCGCTCGAAAAAAAGTTTTAAAAAAGCAAAATTAACTACGAAGTTGAAGAGCATTGAGGGCCCAACAAATACGAAATATTTTGCCAAATACAGATAAGGTAGGTAATCTATTCCTGGTGTAGACAATCCTCAGTATTTCGAAAAATTCAAAGTTTTATAAACAGTTTATCTATAATCATGATAATTATGACCATATCAATGATAATTCATATCAACACAGAAGTATTGACTACTGGGCTGGTGATACCCTCGGTGAGAAACATCCACCAGCAGTGGCATTGCCCAGTGGTTATAAATAAACTCATCATAGATAAAAGGATTACAATTGTGTACGCCAGATTACTCAATCGTTCAAATAAATAAAATATCTTGGATAGCAGTCAATAATATAGCAATCTAGCAACAGAATTTAACCGAATTAGACATCTGGATCAAAAGTGCAATTCATATTAGTTAGGCGGTAATGGTCGCCTTTTGCCTTAATTCCGCTGCCCACATCGTACACTTGCATATATATGATGGGTCGTTTCCAAGCTGAGACATTTTCATATATGTGGTTAAATTTTCGGGTACGAAGTGATTCATTTTTCCATAATTTAGCATACCTCGAAAAACCCTTTTTACACAACAAGTTCTTTGCACATCTATTAGTTTTTTGTACTGGCCCATCTTTCCGTTTTATTTTTTTTTTTGTTTTTTTTTATCTAAATTACTGGAAGAACAGAAATGTCTTAATAAAAACAACATGTATACGATCAAAAGTCACGACTTAAACTGTATTTAAAAGTGTGTCAGGGACGTAGAGTAAAAGGAGGCTTCAGTGCTCATTATATTTCTTGAAGCCTTATTTACCTGTCTATAGAGTTTAGCTCATTATTGAAGGCCGAGTGGAATAAGTTGTCTCTATTGATGGTCCCATTTGTCTTCAATATATATTGATTTTCAAATCAATCAAATAAAACAACTATCATGCTCTATAGGACGACCTAAGTTGTTTCTATAAACTTTCGAGTTGTTTCGACAGACGGTCTCAGATGTGTTCAAAACATGTTTTCAAATCGATAAAATAACACAGCACTATGGCCTCATATCTTATTTAACAGAGTAATCATGCAAGAAACAACACAATTTTAGTGTCTCTGGCCTATTGTAATTCAATGACGACGATGAAGGATTGTCCAAGTTGTCTCTATAAATGATCCCAGTTGTCTCCATACCCGTACGAAACGGTCGGACTTGTCTTTGGGCATACCTGTCTTGTACTAGAGCATGACTAGTTTTCCAGTTGGGAGAAAGTACAAGTAGGGTGTAATAGTGACAAGATACTTAATATTGTTCAAGGAATAGCCTCAAAATTTTACGGAAATCGATTTCATGCATCATTTCAAGAGCAACGAAAATAGCATCAAGAAAAACTGAAAAGAGGTTTTGGGCACAGCTAATTAATGTAGAACCTATATCACTCGATTGCATTTATGTAGAATATAAAAATTGGCAATTCACCAAAACTTTCAAACCCTTTCAAACCTTTTCAATTCTTTAATTCCTGGATAAAGGATGAATTATGATCAGAGCCTTTATCTGGTTCCTTGCAGAATTTTTCAAATAATGTTCATTGCATTTTATGTCATGACGTATCCTGTGAAAGTTTGATTGAAATTCTTTCACTGTTTTAGGAGGATATAATGTTAGGAATGTTCACGCCCTGTAATATAAAAGCGCAGAGTTCATATCTTTGCATGGGAAACCGTAAGTTGCGGATGGGTAATATTCATCCCCTATGATATAAACGTCTATGTTTATATATTGGAATCACCATAATACTGAATGCAAAAAAAGTAAGCCCACTTGTTAGTTAAAAAAGAAAAATGATAAAAGAAACATCCAAAAATTAGATGATATCTCTCGATTATGAAGAAGCGTGTGTGTTTTCATAAATTCCATGAAGGTTTAAAAAAGAGACTTGATGTTTTAAAAACTTAAACTAAGACTTGATCCTGAATGTTAATTACACCAAAAAATACATTTATAAAACAACCAACGGAAAAGTAAAAACAGATATTATTTCTTCATCATGAAAAAAGTTTTCCAAGTTTCGTTCAACTTTGTGAGTGTTTGACAAAGATATTGATGTATAAAAAAGACTTCAACCTCAGACTGAACCTAAATGTTGAAAACAATGACAACCAAGACATTTAGGATCAATATGTGTCACCATCGCAACTTGCGTCACTGGCAAGAAAAAAATGTTTAATTGACTCCATCAAGATCTTGTTGATATAAACATGCACTAATATCCAGCAATAACATACGGATATGGATGCCTTTCAAGTGGTTGGAAGGACCCACTGATACATGAACAACCGCAAAGTGAAACACCAAGCATATATTTGCCCCCACCCCACCATTAATGATCTACATAACAAGTTAGAAGGGAAATTACTCAGTCCCTATATATTCAGTTTAGACAGGTTTTCGATTTTTTTTAATAGAAGTGTGGTCATAACCATGTTGAAATTAACCTTTTACAGGAAATATTGTGTCAGATCTTTACCGATTCATTTTGTACTTACCAAAGTAACCAGATGAATGAAGCAAATGTGACATTTTATCATGTGTGCAAGATAGTACAATGGCTTGTTGTTGCACTCTAGTGATGAATGTTTTCATAATACCATTCAGTTAATTAACTTTCTGAAATAAAAAGTATCCACTTAACTACAAGGCTAAGCAATTAGCGTTTTACATTTATCTATTACGAACTTATTGTATCTTTATGTTCATTTGTCTTAAAATATCATGTGTTTTAATATCAGCAGCAACCGGATTGATGCAAAAGTCGTTGTCAACATACAGATTTTTCTATGATCTAGATATCCACAGTAAATATATTGTAAATTAAAGTTTTTGATAGTGTCAGTCAGATGTCTCATTGAATTCTAAAAGCTGTTGTCATTAACGATTGGAATGCATTTACAGCTCTATCAACTTTTTCCTGGTTCATTCAGTAAAATTCATTGAAAACAAACCCAAAAGGCAGTCAATAATATTGCTCTTTGTGCAAATCTGTACCAACCACTTTGTGTTCTAAACAAATAGCTAACTGTTAGTTTATTACCTTTCTAGCTATTGCTACAAAATGCATTTGAGCGTTTAGCTTGGTTTCAAATTGGTCCATCTCTGCATTTATCTGTTCTTTGTAGTCAACTCTCCAGGTATCAATCATCGATAAAAAAAAAGACATTCCATCCCTGCCACCAACTTAATATTGAAGCAAATGCGTTATTATAACAAAACAAAAACAAAAAAACATCAATTAAGTAATCTATTTTAATTCGTTAAATATATTATATCTTTTATTCTTGTGAGTTGAACCAACTTAACCTACAGCTTGTTAATTTTTTAAAACTTTTACGGAAAATATGTATCACTGCTCTGAGTCTTATTTTTTTTATTTACTATAACATTGTTATAATTCAAATTAAAAATCTAATACACAATAAAACCAAATAAAACATTTAGACATGGATCTACACTCTGAACTTTGTGTTTATTTTATAATTTCATTAATTTGTACACATTCAAAAAATTTTCAGCCGTTAATCAAATTATAAGTATTGATAAAAAATAAATATATTTCTTCTATCTAAAATTGCTAATTGTAAGTAAACAGTTGGAATATTAATACAGGAATCAACATATAATACTACTGATAAACTGAAATATGTCTGAAATCAATGGAGATTTAATTTAAATGTGTATCAAAGACTACTATAACAATTAGATCAAGAGCAGTCTTTCCGAGATTAAAATGCGAGAGGGTTATGATCTTAAAAAACTCTTGTTAAGCCATCACATACTACTGGGCATGTCCCAAGACTAGACTCTCATCTGTGCTTGTGTGTCATTCCATATGTTATTTTGGTTTTTCTTTTTTCTTTTTGTCTTTTTTTTTTTTGAGAATTTGATGCAGATAAGACATCTTTATCGATTTTGTTTATCATAATCACAACCTTTATAGACACAAGATGAAATAGAGCTTGATAAATTGTGTAGACATGTGTTTTTTTGAACATTGTATGTTTCCCTTTAGTTATCTTTTCCGTTGGGTTG